GCCCTGCCTGCCTGCCTCCCTCCTCGACCTTCCTCCGCTGTTACTCTGTTTCTCTCCCTGTTTGATCCTTCCTGGGTCTTCGCCGCATTCTAAGTGCGTCCCGGGCTTTTGGGCGCGGGCGCGGGCGCGTTCGCCGTGGCCTGCCTTGTCCGAGTTTTGCCTTCTGCCCTCACCCCAAGCGAGTGGTTTCAATCAGAGGCAGTCCCCGCCAAGCCCAGATTCTCCTGAATCTGGTAGCAGAATGCCCCAATCGTCTCCAGGCTGGTGTCCTGGAAGCCTCCCCTTACTAGCAGCGCGAAGGAGGCAAAGTACTTTCCAGGTAGTTGAATACCTTCCTCAGCTATATGGTAATAAAAGTATTTCGTTCGCGTGGGGTGGTGCACAGTGCCTGGCAAGGGATCGTGATGGCTGTTTGTTGGCAGGGGAGGGGTTAGTGCACTTCGGAAAAATACAAGAAACACAGAACCTGATTTTTAGTTGCTCCTATTTTAGTAAGAATTGTTTATTATCTGTGTGTCCTTGTCCTTAGATTCGTGAGTACTGATGTCTTAGTGAGTGACGTTTGCATCGTATTTGATCTTCTCCCTTATAAATCGAGAAGAGCTCAGAAGCAGATGGCATGGCGTTGACCTCCTTGTGGAGGAGGAACTTCTGCCAGCTAGCTGATGTCCGGGTGTGTGGAGCGCTGGCTGCTCGGAGAAGTGGCCCTGCAAATCGCGGCCGCAGGGTGGCCAAGGGGCGTCTGCGTGCTTGGTTCTGTTCACTGCAGCCCGGATCTTGCAGGGTGGTGTCCTATGCTGCCTGTGGGAAAAAGTTCCATTCAGGAAGTGGGAATGACCTTCACCCCCTCAGTGAACAAGGACTTTCTCAAGCATGCAACTGGGACAGGCTTGACCAAAACCTTAACAAGGAAGACGAGCGGATGTTTTACAGGACGCTGAACAGCCTGTCTTCGTGGGAAGAGGTGTTAAGTTTCATCAGCACGCTGGACATTTTGCCCGATACTATGGCAGCAGGAGCTTTACAGCGCATTTGTGAAGTGGCAAAAGGAGACAGAGACCAAGGACTGCCAAAGGGAATACTGGAGAATGGCCTCTTTCAAGCTTTGTGCTTTCGGTTTGAAGAGCAACCCACACGTCTGTCGAGCACCGGCTTGGTGACTGCTTTGCAAGCCCTGATTCTGATGCCTGTGGACCACCAGAGTGGCCTGATCCTGAATCTGGTAGCAGAATGCCAGAATCGTCTCCAGGCTGGTGTCCTCGAAGCCTCCGATCTTTGTATTCTTGGGGAAACTCTGATTAGACTGCAAGGGCCAGGTTGTGTGGCGCTCGAACTGATTCTACATCAATTGCAGGGCAAGAAACTGGAAACGTTTACCCCCGAAAATATTGTGGCCACTTACAGACTACTGCAGACCTGTGCTGAGAAAGTAGACCAACACCAGACATTTTTAAATAGGATAAACAACTTCTGTCTTTCAGTTGTTTCCTACCTGAGTCCCAAGTCAGTTAGCCAAGTGCTGGCTGCCCTCGTGGCTCTTGATCAAACTCAAGTGCTCCCTCTGATTATAAAATTGGGTAAATGTGTCGTGAGGCACATTCCTCGTTTCACCAGTGAAGAACTCGGGAAAGTCTTGGAGGCTTTCAAATATTTTGGACACAGTGATCGGTTTTTTACAAGCGCCCTAGAGCAGCATGTAGCTGCACACTGCCTCAGCCTGGATCCTGAAGTGGTCAGTAAAGTCACAGAGTACTGCAGTAGGAGACTGATTCTTTCAAAACCCATTCTTAATGCAGTGGCAGAAACTTTTGTTTGCCAATCAGAAAAGTTTTCACCTCCTCAGATTGCTGAATTAGTTGAACCATTCGGCAAACTCAATTATTTGCCACCAAACGCCCATGCTTTCTTTAGGAAGCTAGAGAATGTGCTGTTCAGTGATTTCCATCGTTTTCCACCCAAAATGCTCCTACGAGTTCTCCATTCCTGTTCACTTGTCGAATGCCATCCAGTCAACTTTATGGCAAAAATATTCAGCCCTTTCTTTCTTCAGCAGCTGCAAGGTGAGTTGGTTATTCTGATAGTTGGCAAAATTAGCATTGTAATTTGTGCTGTTTGCAGACCACGTAGCTACTGTTTCTGTGTGCTACTCGTATTTTTTCTTTCATAAAACCATGAAGGAGTGATCTGTGGTTACAGACGCTAGCATCAGCACCAAGCTACAAAAGGCTGGAAGCATGGAGAGTGGGCGGGAGGCAGTGTCACATAGAC